CCTCGCCCTCCTCGGCCCCTCGATGGTGATTTCTGGGCCGACCGACTATTCGCCAATGCGCGTTGGCGCTCCGTCGGCTGCGTACGAAAGGCCACCGCCTGCCTTCGGAACGGGGACCATGCCGACGGGCTCCCCGACGCCGCCTGCTCCGAAGCCCGTGACAGAAGGTGCTGAAATCCTTCTTCGCCCCGCACCGTCGTTTCGCGAGGCCCTGGCGTCTCTGCCTGGCGACGGTGGTCACCAGGCGCCCGCGCTGTCTGCATCGCTTCCTGTTGCGCCGCCTGTCCCTCTCGCTGCGGCGTCCGATGTGTCTGCTCCGTCTGGCGCTCTTCGAGTTGCCGACCCCGTCGCTCCGTCTGCGGCTGCCGAACAGGCGGTTGTTGCTGGCGGCGTGGCGGCCCAGCCGGAGGGGTCCGCCACCACTGACGTCCAGGGCCAGCCGTCGCTTCCCGCCGCCCCGGCTCCTCTGTCTGCACCGCTTCAGACGCTAGCGCCTCCTCCGCCTGTGCTTGCTGGGTCTGCTCCTGCTCTGGCCGCGGCTGTACCTCCCGCGCCACCTGTGGTTGCGCCCCCTGCACCGTCTGCGGGTGCTCCTCCTGCGCCGCCTGGAGTTGCTCCTGTTGCCCTGCCTGGTGCTGCACTGTCGGCTCCGCATGCGGCGGGTCCGTCTGCGCCGCATGTTGCTGTTCCTGTCGCACCACTGGTGGCGAATCCCGCTGCACCGTCCGCTCCGCGTCGGCAGTCTCCTGGCCGCCGTCAGCAGCGGCCCCAATCCCCCGTGCGTCAGGACGAGCGCGCGACGTCCCGGCGCCGCCACAATTCCCCGCGGCGCCGCGGTTCTCAGGCGAACTGGGCGGCGCAACGCGGCGGCCGAGGCGGCTGGTGGGGGCCGCGTCAGCCAGGTGGCGGCTGGGGGTATGATCAGCCGGTGACGATGGCTGACCTGCAGCGCGCGGTAACTGCTGCTGTGCGCGAGGAGCGGAACGGGCAGGCGAGCCAGAGCAACTCCCCGCGTGTTGCTCAGACACCAGTGGCGCCTCCCCCGGCTGCGCCTGTCGCCCAGGCAGCCCCCTGTCCTCCTGCGGTTGCTCCTCCTCCTCTTGTTCCCTCTGCTTCGACCCCGCAGGCGGGGAATCAGCGCCGGGCCCCGTGGGTCCCCCCTGTGGCGGGGGTCGAGTTTTTGACTGCTGCTGGTGGGCCCGTGACTGCACAGTACCCGTCCTTGCTGCCTGTTGATCCCCCTCCCCCGTCTGCAGGTGTGGCTCACTCGTTCTCGGCCCTGCTGGGACCTCAGCGTCCGGTTGCGGTGCCGGAGGTGACCCTTGGTCAGATCTGGCGCCTCTCGGAGGCGCTGCGGGTCGTGCATCTGGTGCAGGTGTATGGTCATGCCGCCCTGTCCCAGGGCGACTCACTGGTGGGCGGCCCTCGGGACGATTGCTTCGCGGCTGCTGATCGCCTCGCCGAGCTGCTAGCGCCCGTGTTGGCTGCGCCCGCGCCGGGTGGGCTTGCGGGGGTCGGGCCCCTTGGCTCGGCCGTGCGTGGGCTGCGGCGGTTGTTGCATGCAGGGACTGGATCCGGGGCGATCGCCGCAGGCACGGTGTTGGTGCGGGAGCTCCATCGCACGCTGTCGGGCCTGCTTGCTGTGTTTGACGCGGACCAGATGTAGTGTCCGCGGGCCCCCGGAGCTCACCGCTTGTGGAGGCGGGCTCCGTTTGCTCCATTGCTTTTCCTAGTCTAGTGTCGTGTGTGCCTTGCTTGTATGCATGCCTATAGTTGCTTGCATTGAGTGTGTCTTGCCACCCCTCACGCGCGGCCGAAGGCCGCGCTGTCGAGCGTCGGCCGCCGAAGGCGGCCGGCGCGAGCCGCTGGGTTAGAAGAAACGAACCCGCCGCTGAATAATGAGGAACTACAAAGGCCCCAAGGCCTTATAAACTAGGAGAGAGGGGGGCTGAGAGGCTGAGAGGCTAAGGGGCTAAGCTATGCTCTCTCTCTCTCTCTCTCTCTCTCTCTCTCTCTCTCTCTCTCTCTCTCTCTCTCTCTCTCTAATGGTCCGTATATTGATATGGCCGAAAGGTACACACATACAAGTTCATAAAGCATGCCTGTCACATACTAACTCATCTACAGCTCTACTAGTGGCTCCAAAACAGCAAAGCAATCCCCTAGGTGCAGCTTGTGCCCAATCCCCCCCACCGGGGGGTTCTCAGCTGCTGCCGCCTCACCAAGCTTAATGAGCAATCCCACCGACTGGGCCCTCTGGACTATTCCTCTCTCTCTCTCTCTCTCTCTCTCTCTCTCTCTCTCTCTCTCTCTCTCTCTCTCTCTCTCTCTCTCTCAAGCAGTCTCTCATTGATGTGTAAACAGGGTACATGTAGGGCACCGGCAGTCCTAGCAAGCATGCAAGCCGAGACCAGCAGGGTTATAATAATGAGCACAGTCACATACATGCCATGTAATCGGACTCTATGTCTCGCCAAGCCGCACTGGTTCCGCACCTATACTACTGGTCACATCACTGCAGGCCTGCTCCACAACTTGCTTAAACCTCATCCCTCCTCTCTTTTACCTTGCTTTGACGTGGGAGAGCGTCCTGAGCTTGGGGTAAGCCTCCCTTGCTCCCCAGGGGTTGGCCCGGCCCTCTACTCCCAGAGGTCGAGTACCTGGGCCAGGTCATCCTCAAGGACCTGCCACAGGTCCCCGAGGCTTGGCTCCCACGGGTCAGCCGCTGTGCGCTGCCTCAAGTGCCCTGTTGGATTTGGCCATCAATGCATTTGCCTGGCAGCCCTGGAGGTTTACCGACCATCACTGTCGGTAGTGCGCTGTGAATTTGGAGGCCATGGCCGTCAGCCGCCCCTGCCTGTGCTTCGTCTTTGCTGCCTGGGTGCCTAGGAGGTGGAGGAATCGCTGGTGTCCTTAGCCAAGGCCCCATATGTTTCCACCGCCAGGCCGAACACCCCCACAAAGCCAGGTCGCCCCTCATACAGCCCCGCTTCACCCTTGCTGCATCCGCTGCCGCCCATCCAGGCGGCTTCACTGCTCGCTTGTCTCGCCGCTGCAGGGCGGGGTCCATCACCGTGATGTCTGTGACGTAGGTCTCATTGGATTCATTATCGCGGATGACAATGTCCGCTCGCTTTTGGTTAGTTATAGGCGAGAGGATTGCCGTCTCGTGCAAGGCAGTGTAACCCGCTTCCCTGGCCATCCGCAGCGCCACATACACCAGTGAGTTGTGGGTGTTCGTACGGTCTCCCCCGTCGGCACTCTGCAGCAAGTGGTTCGGCAGGCTCCTATCCCGTATGGCCGACCGCTTCCCTTTCCAAGGGCACCTCTCCGTCACCGCCAGGGGCAGCCCAAGGCGGAAACCGAGTGCCATTGCAAACTGTCCAGGTGAGAAGGTGAGGTCGTCCCTCGTGGGGACCGCGTGAAACCAATCTCCTACCCCCACCCCTTGCAGTGCTATGAGTCGGATCACATGTCCATTGTCCACACCTAGCCTGTCTTCCCTCGTGTCGCCTACCAGCTCTGCAGCCCCGTCCGCGCGCGCGTCGCAAAGTCAACGCTATGAAGTTTTAGAAACTTGATCCGTGCGCTTCGCAATTTGGGCAGTGGCCTTTAAGTGAGTGTATACCAAGTGGAAGAACGAACATGGGTTTTACATCAAGTGGACCGCGCTCGAGGGGTTGGGGGTTCCCTTGAGCGGCTTGCTGGCAGCGAAAATCCATATCGACACTTAGCTAAAGGAGGAGCTCTGGGGGGAGTATGGTCCGAGTGAGTAAATCATTTGATTGGACATCCCCCCTCCCCCCCTCTCTCCTTTCATCCTCTCGACCTTAACACCATCATCTTACAACACCCGGTATATCATATTCCCCTTTTCGGCTGTCTCTTTACATAGACAATCGTAGGACCAGTGCTTCACCAGCCCTTACATCCTCTTCTCTTGTCACACCCCACCCCTTAAACGTCCTCTGTTCGAGCATGTCGCAGGCGAGGACTCCCACTTGATCACATAGGGAAATGACGCGGATAGTGATCTCCTGTTGGGCAACGAGACCTTCTTCAATGCAGCAATGAACGCTTTCGGTAAATTTGTCTTGGGAAATGACATATGCTTAAATGCTTATCACATCGCCTGGACCATCATGATGGTGAGTAATTTGTATGTTCCTCCCACTTGTGTTACAACACGCATTTGTTTACTCTTTCCCTCTAGGTTTTACCCGACACGTGTGTTTGCCCCGGTCTCAAAGTATGCCCCCAAACAATATTCCAATCACTCCTTTCCCCCAGGCATATACTAACTCTCATAGTAATTACCTTTCCCTCTGGCGCACCTTTGCTTCCTGAAACCTTGGTCTCTTAGTTGAAAAAGACGCACGGCGGACGCTGTGTCCTTCGTCTGGATGCATGGACGACGCATGACGATTTTTTTTTTGGGCTGACTTTTTATTTTTATTTTTTTTCTGGCGCGAAATTGACAATCGCGAATTCGACGCGAGTGTCGATTTCGCGTAATGTCGTCCCCCCCTCCCCCAAATGGACCTTCAAAAGCAGCCACCGCACCATTCATACCACTAATGCAAAATTGAAAAGCCTAACCCCCTCAACCAATCTAGAGTTATATAACCCAACCAATGTGGCCCACCACCAAGGCCATTTAGTAATGCAACCAAGTCATTTATGCTTTCTCCTTTTACCCACCCACCCAATTTTCCTTCATGAACCCTAGAAGTTTTAGCCTCCTAACGCAACTTCGTTATGGCTTCCTCCATCAATCCTTGGTCTTCCATCGCATCTAAGGATGCTAATGCCAACGGCGACTCTCCCTTCAAGCGGTTCACTAGGGATGGGATGGAGAAGAAACCGCAAAACCCCACTCAGCGTATATAGACATTATTGGACATTTGACGATCGGACTAAAAAGGGAAGCAGTGTGAGTGCCTTTGGTGCGAGAAAACGTTCGCCTTTGGTAGTAGGCGGTGCACCCAGCATCTCGCCGTATGGAACGACGCGAACGTTCGTCGCGAGGCAAGGACTGTTTGCGCGAAGATTTCGAAGCGCATTCTAACGGCATTCGCGATACGAATGAGTCTAAAATTACGGCGCGCGAGAGGGCGACGGATGCGACGCTCGCTGCAATGAGCGGCCAAGGCGGAGCGGGACCGAAGGTTAAGAAGGGGCAGATGGAGGATTGGAATGGCAAGGGCGAGATCTCGGTGAAGCGTGCGGCCGATGATGCAGTTTGCCTCTACATCGTGGTGACTCGCACGCTGGAGACTCTGTGCGAGCACCACTTCTTCCTCAACATGCTGCGCGCCGTTAATGCCGCTGGACCCAACTACCCCCCCCCCCCAAGCGTGGCTACATTGGAGGCGCTGGGCTGCTGGTGTGCAAGCAGCAGATTGAAAAGGGATTGGCGCCCATTACGAAGACTTGGAAGGAGACTGGCGTGACAATCGCCAGTGACATGATGACTGTGTGCGCCCACCCCAAGCGTGGCTACGTTGGAGGCGCCGGGCTGCTGGCGTGCAAGCAGCAGATTGAGAAGGGATTAATGCCCATTACGAAGACTTGGAAGGAGATTGGCGTGACGATCGCCGGCGACATGATGACGGACAAGATCGGGCGCGTGCGGATGAACATCATCTCCATCAACGTCAGTGGTGCGATTTTCCAAGAGGCAGTCGACTGTAAGGTGGAGATAAAGAGTGGGGTGTTTATCGTTCGCGTCTTGCAGTCGATCATTGAGAAGGTTGGATCGGAGCACATCGTCGCGATTTGCATGGATGGCGGCAGCAACTACGTGTCCGCCGGCAAGCTGCTGCAGAAGAACCCACACATCGAGATCGTCCCCTGCGCCACTCATGTGCTCGACTTGCTGATGGAGGACTTCAGCAAGATGGATTGGGCGTAGGAGGTCGTGGATACGACATAATCTCGTTCCTACGCAGCCACACGTGGACGCATGCCTTCTTGCGGTGTCCCGAGCTGCATGGCGAGGAGAAGTCGCTGCAGCTGCTGCGATCGGTGGGCACGCGCTTTGGCACGCAGTACATTGTGGTGTCATGTCTGCGTAAGATTCATCCGCAGTTGATGCAGATGGTGTGCACAAGGACTAAGAGGAGAATGGGAGGAAGCAGCAGACTGGAAAAAACTTTGAAGCGTTGGTGTTGGATGCTGAGTGGTAGAAGAAGGTGATGGAGTTGCCGTACAAGGTGATGAGGAGGACGGATGGGCCGACAAAGGGGATGATGGGGGCGTTGTACGACATGATGCTACAGCTGACGGAGAAGTTGTCGGCGCTGTTGGAGAGCTCGGATTGTCAGCTCAAAGAGGCGGATAAGGAGGGGTTGCAGGAGCATTTGAAGCAGCGTTGGGACGAGAGTTTGGCCTGCCCCCTTCACGTGGTAGGCCGAATTCTGAACCCGATCAACCAGGAGGAGGGGATCTACCTCAAGGACATTGAGTGCACCAAGGTGATAAAGGCTTGACTGTCACGCTCGAAAGCCTTCATCGACAAGTACTGGAAGAAGGACGGCGGGACGAAGGGAACGATGAAGGCGCTGCAAAGGGGGATCTGGCGTATATTGAGGTCAGGGGGTGCTTTGGGTCAGAGGACGCGATAGAGGGGCGTGTGAAGCTGAAGGAAGGGAAGGGAGACATGGTGACGTGGTCGAAGGCGAACAGATGGGAGTACACCGATCTGGCAGGCCTTGCGTGCCGTGCGGTGTCACCGCCCGTTTTCGCTTCTCCGTACGAGTGGGGATGGAATGTGTTGGAGGGGGTGCACACGGCGCGCAGGAAAAGGCTGGGGTCGGAGAAGGTCCGCGACCTTGTGTTCGTGGCGCACAACTGGACTGTTGTGCACGGCTATCACCAGGGTGCAGCTGGTGCAGGGCCAAGTGGGGAAGTAAGGAAGACGGGAGTAGTGGAGGATAACATTCCCACCACAAGTTGGAGGAGGATGGGGAGAGGGAGGTGGACGAGGACGACACGCGCGTCAACGAGCACAAGGACCATGAAGACAAGGAGGAAGAGAAGGAGGACAGCGAGGAGGATGAGGATGAGCGATTGGTTGCCTTGATGCAATGGTAGTGTAATATTCACGTTCTTGAGTGATTAGATTAGATGTGTGACCTTGTGACATGTGTGATGTGACTCAGCTTAATCTTGAAGATTGGGGAGAAAAATGTTGTTGGGGAAAAAAATTTGCATTGAAAGTGTGGAACGTTCACATGCCCTATAACATTTGTTTTTAACTGCCCAGAGTTTTTTTATGCCCTGCCCAGGCATGCGTCTTTTGTAGCGTCTCTCAGGCCCTAGTGCTGCATCCTACGTCTAAGACGATGCGTCTGGACGCATCCATCGAAGACGCAGGACACGTCTTTCTCAACTAAGCTTGGTATCAATATGTCATCGAGAGCTGCGCCCACTCATGGTTCACCCTTTCACTCATGGCCTTACTTTGTTCATCTATTTCTCCTTTCCCTCACTTCCGTTCAATACCCATATGTCTCCTTCCCCTCAGGTGCATCCAAACCCTCCTTGGCTCCCTCTTCCCTTCAGAAGCTATGCCCACTCTTCTATTACCGCGCATTTCAAGCTCACACTCTGCCATTGTGCAACACTTCTCAAAATGCTGTCATTGTCCCACTTGATTCCGACCTCTCACACTTCCTTATCGAACCTGAACTTTCCCATGTTCCCCAATTCTGCCAATGCAGATCGACTACGGCTTGTCGAAGATCAAGTCAACGATGAACCTCACAGACTTCTACCTGAAAAAACACAATGTGGGTCACCAGCATCCGTAATGCGGTGAAGCGGGTGGTGAGGGATCGTTTCAGCCAGGTGAACCCTGTCTACAGCTCATGGATGAAGGGGTTCAACTGGGGGAATTTCGGCTTGTTCGTTCATGGGTTTGGAGTTTGAGAAGTATAGGCCTAGGCCACAGCCCTGCAATCCGACAAGGAGGGTGGCGGCAGGACCAAACTAGAGGAGAAGAAAGAGGGAATAACAGTGCGAGGAGCTTGGAGTAAGACTACATGGGGGGCAAAGTAACAGCAGGTAGGGGAGCAGAGGAGTAATAGCACGGAGGGGAGCAGAGGAGAAATGGCATGGAGGGGAGCAGAGGAGAAATGGCATGGAGGGAGAAGAAGAGAAACGACATGAAGGGGAGCAGAGGAGAAACGACATGGAGGGGATCAGAGGAGAAACATCATGGAGGGGAGCAGGGGAGAAACAGCATGGAGGAGAGCAGAGTAGAAAAGCATAAAGGGGAGCATAGGAGAAAGAATATAGAAATAGGGGAGAAGCAATATGGAGGGGAGAAGAGGAGAAACAACATGGAGGAGAGCAAAGGAGAAACAACATAGAGAAAAGATAAAAAGAAACAGCATGGAGGGGAGCAGAGGAGAAACAACATGGAGGGAGCTGAGAGAGTACGATGGCTTTGCTAGGCTTCACTCGCTTGATTATGCTTTATTACGCATTATCTAGCTTAGCTTTATTTTATCTTGCATGCTTTTGCTTGATTTCCTAGGTTTGTTGCGTTTACTATATTTATTATAGTTTTAGGCAACGAACTAGGTTAAGTGCACGAAATTCTAGGCTTTCCGGTTGGCACCGAAATTCCTTCTACCGAATTCGGGTAGGACCCATTCGGGACGCTTCGAGACCCGCAGAACCTTCTAGTAACACCGGGTTTACTGGCATTGTGCCATGCATATACATAGCACGACGTTATACACAGGTGATCAAATTATATTCTTTGAAACCCAATTCATCTGATCCGCACACTTGGTAATGAAAGCTCGTTTACAAGCGAAGGTCTTCAACCGCTTTAAACCGGCCATAAAAAAATCGCGGGGGCAACGGCGAAAGCGCCGATTGGGTATGTAAAACCAGTTCCGCGCGATTTGGCTAAGTCCCCCTCGATCCGGTTTTCTAACACCCCTCATGTTTATTGGCAAAAAGGTTGGAATTTCGACCATCAGATCGATTCAAAACTCGTCGGCCCAGAGAATTTCGCAAAAAAAAAACGTTAAAATTTGGAGCGTCGGATCAATTTCTTCTCAACGGCCGAGATCGGTCGCGAATTTCAACTAAGGGAGACTTCCACAAAATCAGTTCTCGTCAGTCATTTTTCCAGTGCATTCGATTCGCAATAAGTCAACCAACGCCTACATCTTATTTATTTCCGTCGCAAATATTATTGAAAATCGCCAAATGGAGGAAAATGGTGATAATTTCGTACAAACAAATACGAAGTTACGCACCGACATGGACCAGACGCGAGCAACACTCCAATGAATTGAGCGTTACTCGCGTTCCAGTCGGCAGCCGCCACGGCAGCAGCGAACGCAGCAGCAAATGCAGTAGCGTTAGCAGCAGCAGCAACGACGACACCGACAATTGTATCTGCGACAGCGACAGTAACTACAGTTAGCCTCGAAGCAGCAACACAATTACAAGGCCCAGCTCTATAGTGGATTAACAACAAAATTGTCTAAGGCGAAGGGACGTGGGCGTAATTTCGGGCAGCACTGATCGAACAGTTCGACGCGGTGAACAGTAGCTACCACGGAACACAACGCAACTAGCCAAATAGTGGCTTGGAGCGATTGGCACCACTCACGACTGCCGACCCGACGGAGAACCACAAGGGCAATGCAAAGCAGCGGCTAAATAAAAACAAGACGTACTGCGGTGCTACATGACATCGTATATTGGCGTGTTGGAAAATGCAGAAAGCACGTGTGGAGCTTGAGGGCAAGAACAATGCGGAACCCCCAAAGCAGAAAACGGACAACGTGGCTACTTTGGAGAGGACGAAAAAAAGGAGAATATGATGGCACAAATTTCAAACGTCATGACCGGGCGGCACTAGGGGAAATCGCCGAAACAAATGGAGACTCTTCAAAACAAGACTATTGACCAAGAGACCCCAGCCGTACACTTTAATAAGTAACAATTCGTTAAGGTTATCCTTACAAGATACTTTAACTAAGAATATTACTTCTCGTGGTTTTCAAGCCTTTACAAAGGGAGAGTCATAAATTATACCGGTACCGGGTAAAATGAAAACCAGTACCGGCTCTGAGCGTTGAAAAAGGTACGATCGTTCCAGGCCAAGTAAAAGCTGAATTGACCTTGGATAAATCCTTCTAACCCTGCTCACTTAAAAACCGATATTAATTCGGCAGCTTCGGCCCCACGAACTAGGGATGATACATTTTATATACCCTATTATCATTTAAGCAACACCATCTACGGCTACTCGGAGCAGCAGCAGCCACTACTCCTCGAGGTGATCTGTATCGGGCGACGCCTCCAGGCACTGGTGGACGGTAGTGCGTCCCACTTGGTGTGTGACCATGGGACGTTGGAAAAAAATGGAGAATCCTCATAAGAGACCGAGTTTACAGCAACGATGGTGAACGATACGATGCTTCCCATCCACGGCGAGTCAACATTGCAGCTGCTCTAAAACAGGTCCATTATTTCCCCATAAACTACAAGTTAATGTTCCTGCTAGTAAAAAGACAGACCCACCAGCGATTTTGGCATTAAGGTGGAAGCCGACGTTGCTGATCACGAACATCAAGGGATTAGATTTCATCTTGGAGCATGATTTTCTGAAGCGGTTCAACCCCGAGATAGACTGGGTCAACCGGAAGGCGAGCATCTACAATAACGGGAAACGGGTGAAGCTGCAAGGGTTCACACTGAAGCGTATTTACACTCGCTGAAGCCTTCACGCTGGGGGCACGCAGGTCAGACTAATGATGATCCATTGCATTGTCGAGGGCAACGCCGTAGGTGAAATCACAAAGGACGCACGGCCCAACATTCAACCATGTTATGCAGCCCAATGTAGATGAGGCCGGAGTCATTTGCGGTCGGCGCGGCGTG